GCATTTGCATCCGCAGTATTTAGCACGATGCTTTGCATATAATAATGTTTCAATAAATGCTTTATTCATTCATTCCTTTATTCCTAGAGAGGATCTTCTGCTGGTCTCAAGACACTTAGATAGAACCAATAAGCTGGTGACTTGAGTGCAGCACCATCTAGTGAGAAAATTACACATTACACTCCATCGTCGGTTCATTATTGTCAAGTGACACCCTGTCATCCTGTGTTTTTTTAAGGAAAGTAGGTACATGAAAACGTAAGAGATGATACTAACTGTTACTGGAGCCCTTTAAGGACCACCTGCAATACTCACCAAGGACACAATCAGCTGGCACCATCCTTACATATTCTTTTACATACATATACCACAATTTGTTCAGTCATTCCCCTATTGATGAGTACCTGCCTTGTTTCTAATTTTTTGATAGCACAAAAAGCATCAAATGGAACCTTTTCCCTGTCATTGACCTCCTTTAGATACAGGTCTGATGGTGGGGCTCACTGGGTCAACAGTTTGGTGACTTATCTTACATATATCAATGAGTCACAACTCTACCAATGGTCTAGTGGTGTGCTACAGCAAATGTCTTCTCATTTTCCTTTTCTCTTTCCCTAACTTTGGACGAATGGTTGTCCAAGAGGGACATGAAATACTGCATGAGTATCTGTAAAATGCAATGTTTATAAGCTGTAAAAATGGAAAATAATTTAAATCAGTAAAACTAGAAAGGTAATTGGTAAGGAGATAAAAGTAACAAATAATTATATGAGGCTGCCAGAATGAGAACATGTAAGCATGTAATGTAAGCATGAAATGATTATGTACATAAAGAAATGCAACAGAAAACACTGAATAAGAAATTTCTTATAACACACAAGAAAGCAACAAGGCCTTTTAAAAATCTACGTAAATTTTGGAATTACTCCTCTTCCAACTGAAATGAAAAAGACCAAAGGTGAATAAAGAACAAAACAGCTACACATATGAAAGGAGACCTAAAAGAATACCATAGTGGACTATGAAAAAGAAATGTTGAATTAGAAATATTTAATATTTCATGGAGAAGTAACAAAATTCATTACAAATATCACACAAACACTAAACGTATCCTTTTCTCAGGTGAGCTATAAAGTTGTATAGCAAGGGGTCAAATACGTCCCAAATACTTTTCTTGTCCCAAACTCACTATAGTTTTTCTGTTTGCTTCAGTATTAATTTCAGCTAAAAATGGTTGGGAAATGGTCATGATTAAAAGGAAAAAAAAAACACAACGAAAGGGAACATAAAGCAGTACATAGGCTTTAACATTATATTTCTGATTAAAATGGAAAAAATAATAAATTTATAAACTTTTTTTAAGGCTGTTCCTTTCACTTGTGTGTTAATAGTGTCTGGCACATAGTAAGCATGTAATAAATGTTTATTGATCGGTCATTGATTGAAAGAGCTTAGTGTTTAATAGAGGGGATATGACATGTCTACAAAAAACTATAAATTATAATTCATTAAGTATACAGGAGAGTGGTATAAAAGATTCTAAAAAGGGGAATTACAGTTCAGGGGAACTGAGAAGATTTCATGCAGAAAAGTGGCAACTAAGAGGTTCACCATGTAAACCAAGGAAAGAAACACTAGGTAGTCAGAGGAGGTGGCCAGTGGTGTCCAAGGCAGCATAAAGATCTAGGAGGATAAAAACTGAGAAAAGACCATCCAATTTAGCAATTGTAGATCACTGGCAACTTTATAAAGAGTGATTTCTAGGGACTGAGTGGCGCAACATCCAATGGGCTGACGAATGTGTTGTGAATGAGTGCCAGCAACAGAGAAGACAACTTTCTAAGAGTTTAGCAGTGGAAAGGTGAAAAGATAAAGGATGATAGCTTGGAGGGAGAGAGTCAAGTGAAGGGTTTTTGTTTTGTTTTGTTTTGTTGTTAAAGACACAGAGACTTGAACATTGCAGATAGCAGAGGAATTAGTACAAAGGGGAAAATGGAAGATTAGAGGAAAGGAACAATGAGGCAAGTTCCCAGAAAAGAAAGGAGAAAATAGGATCAAAGGAACAAGTAAAGGGCTTAATCCTACAAGGGAAAAAAATGTACCTATAATGGAAGATTTAATGGATTCTCTAATGGAAGAAGATTCTTTAATGGAATGAGTAAGAACCTTGAAATAAATAATAATCATCATCATAATAATAATAAATAAAAACAAAGTCCAAAGAAATCTAGAAGGGTAAATTTATTTCAGCAACTGGAAGGAGCTATATACAGTGAGGTAACTCTAACATTCTAACATGGGGAAGAAGAAACAAATGTCCATTCTTAATGTTTCCAAAGGAAATTGAGAGACAAAAAAAAAGAAGAAAAGTAGAGATCTTGGAGGTGAATTGGTTCTTTTCTGGAAGTTAGAAGAGGAAAAACAAGAAAGGGGGTAAAAAGGAACACACTAGCAAAACAGAAAGAGTGGAACTTGCTATTTCTAAAAATTGGGGTGTGTGAGAATATACAAACATGGAGAGAGGGGTGGGGAAATGGGCATCAGGTGAATCTCATATCCAAAAAGGACAAAAGCGGGTTGAAAACAATTTAGTACAGAAATACATTGAACTCAATAGCAAAACAAGTAGGAATTGGGGGTGGGAGATGGTTAAGAGACAGGCTAGGCAGGGAGGCAAGAGTCACAAGCAAAACAAACCTTCTGATCCTGAAGGTAAAATTAAAAGGAAGGAAAAAAATCAAAGAACTAGAATCTAAAAGGGTACCATAGATGAGCTCTTAGACAACTGAGGAATGGTTAAACAAACTGAAGCATATGAATGTGATGGAGTTTCTGTCATAAAAATTGATAATAAAGAGATAATTTCAGAAAACCCTGACACGAGTAAGGTGAGCATATCCAGAACACTTTATACAAGAACAGCAATATTACAAAGAAAAACAACTTTTAGAAGATTTAAGAACTCTGATTAACCACATCTCCAGAGGACCTATGATGAGGCATGTTACTAAATTCCAAGGTACATATATATAAGTTTTTGGACTTAGCAAACCATTTGGATTCATTTGGTTTAACTATGCTTATTTGTTACCAAGACTTTTTTTTTCTTCTTTAGTTTTTGATTGAGGGTGGGCTGTGGGTATTGGCAATAGTGATACAAAAAAAGGAAGACCAATGAAGCAGATATACATGGGAAAGTTTTGAAAATAATATGTAGAATTTATTACATGATTTTATTTTTTAAAGCAAGAAGTATGAAATAGAGATTCATGGTTTCATATAGAATGCATTTCTTTTGTTCAGCTTTTGGAAGAAATGCTCTTTTTTGGCATTTAAATTCAGAATTTTAAAATTTCTTTAAAAAAAAGAAAAAAGTGTGGTAAATTATGAAGTATGATAAGGAAATTACTGTAAGATAGACGGTTAGATTTGCTTGTTAAGCAAAGTCCACAGCTACACCAGATCTTGTTATTTCCATCTTCAGGTTTTTGCTTGTCTTTGGCAAAGGAATTTGATAATTCAACTGGTTTTAAATTATATATTAAACAAACCACTCTGAGGGAAAATTCATTCAGAAGTCCCCAAAACTTTTTGCATATTTCTAAATAAAACATACTTAAGAGAAAATTTTAAAAATCAATCATCAACAATTTATTAAGTGCTTATTATTAACTCCCCTATAAAGTACGCAGCTAAGTGGTACAACGGATAGAGTGCTGAATCTGGATTCAGGAAGACCCAAGTTCAAATCCAACCCCAGACACTTACTAGCTGTGTGACCCTGAGCAAGTCATTTAACTTCTGCCTGCCTCAGTTTCCTCAACTGTAAATTGGGCATAATGATAGCACCTGTTTCCCAGGGCTGTTTTGAGTATTAAATGTATTAGTATTTGTAAAGTGTTTAGCATGGTGCCTGGCTCATCGTCATTGTTTGTCCTTTGTTTTCAAAGAAAACCAATGACACCACAAGGTGATGTCTTGTGTATGAAATGGCTTTAAATGAGTGACACAGAGTTGTACAAAGTTGTTAGCCTCACTCTCTCTTCCAGAACCATCAAAGTCCAGTGGCAAGACGAAAGTCAAGATGAGTGGCAATGGCCCACGATGCACTGGATGACCTTGGAATCTTTGATGTCTAACCAAGCTCTCCGAGTTCCACAGTGCCTGCTTCAGACATCTTCACAGCCACTGAAACAAAATGTTCTCATTCACCCATTCTGTAGGGGTGAAGTCTTCACATGCTTAGAGAAGTCACCCCCCTACCTCACTGAGTTAATTATCCTCAGCATGGTTAGCCCACCTGCCAAGATGGTTTACCAGGGTGCGGCCACTATGCATGCTACAGTTTCTTGGAGCCACAGGTGACCTCTGAGTGCCAAGCAGACACCAAAGGTGGATGAGCAACCCTGAAAAGGGCTCAGCAAGCCCTCACTTCAGAAATGCTAGTCCTCCCCGAACACCTCCTTTGCACATGTTAGATGTTTAATAGATACTTGTTTCCTTCCTTCCTGTTTTCCCCAAGTACTGTTCTAAGTACTGGGTACACAGGACAAGTGAGGACAATCCCTGTCCTCAAGGAGCTTACATCCACTCTAATAGGAAAGACAACAAGGATTCACAAGTAAGTGAATAAAGAAGATATGCACACTAGTTGTGTTTCTCTGGGCAAGTCACTTAACCCCAATTGCCTCACCAAAAAAATATATATATGCAAAATGAATACAAGGTAGTTTTGGTAAGGAGAACACTAAAGGCTGAAGGATCAGAAAATAGCTTCATATAGAAGGTGGTACTTGAGTAGAGTTTTGATCAATGAAGATTTAGTCACATAGTATGTTAAACTTTATCTTTACCAGGCCTAGGCAAAATTATGTCAGTGCCTTCCACCCTCCGAAGTCTCCATCCTTGGAGACACCTATTATTATCATGTTCCCCTAGAACAACTTAATCCACACAAAAAATGGTTTATGTATAAATTATTTTATTTAGAAATTGCACATATTCACAAGGATTTCTCCTTTAAAACACATTATGAATTATTCTTAAGGAAACACAAATGGAGAAAAATAATCTGGGAAACTGTTTTACACCAAAACAAATATTTCAAAAGTAGTACAAACATTACCAACAACTTTTTCATTTAAACATACTTCATAAAACAGCAATTTTTAAAAAGTATCAGCTCCTGAAGAGTCTGCATCTCCCTGTATTGTACTGATACTCTGAGAGTGAGAGTGGTCGTCCACATTCACTGAAGGCAACGTCACAAACATCTTGGCAAGTGTGGCCTGTGACGTTAAACATGGTTCTGCTTCCCCTCCTGCAACAAAGAGAAATTCCATTCAGCTCAACAAGTATTTATTAAGATGTTTACTTCTTTATTTGGAGTTTTTTCTACCTGGTGGTAGGTAGAAAAGATGTACAGGACATGGCCTGCTCCTTGATCTCAAACTACTTGTAAACTTGTCTAAAGACACAATACATATCAAACAACCAGAGGGAAACAAAAAAACCCAGTAACAATATAACAGCCAAAATGTGTAGCAAAGAAAATAAATGCAACAGAGAAAACAATTAAAGTCCAATATGAGCAACTTCAACAACACTAATATAGTTTTGTAGTAAAAGACACACAGAAAAAGACAAACATTCCAAGGCACAACATACAAAGGGCATTCAGTCAGGTAGCACGAGGCACAACTACCCCACAGATCTGTGTCCTACACTGACTTTGTTATTAATATCAACAAAAAATAGCAGTAGACTTACCCTTTTAATTATCGTGTCTGTGTGTGTGTGTGTGTGTGTGCGTGTGTGTGTTCTACTTAAGACAATATTAAAACTAATTTCATTAAATTAAAAATAGTTTGAGAAGAGGTGTGGTAGAGTAGAAAGTATGCTTGAGACTTGGGTTCAATTCCCAACTCTGATACTAATTGTATGATTATGGACAAACATCTTTTATAACTTCAGTTTCCTCATCTGTAATACTCGAATAACAAAAATTGTGGTACCTATCTCAACAGACACCAAATGAGAATACATGTTAAATACTCTTCAAACCACAGAGGGTCACAATAATGTCAGCTGCTGCTGCTGCCACTGCTACTATCATTCACCTTGTTCTTCCCGTCTTTTTCAATGGCATTTAGAGAGAGACAATCCTGAGACAAGTTACTATCCTGTTGTTATTCTTCTATCCTGTATTTAACGTTCTGAGGATTACTAAGCAGGTGAACATTTACTGCATGTAGCTAATAATGACAAAGCCAATAACTGAGAGTATCAGGAGGTAGCAGACAGGATGACAGCAACGATATGGAAGCATTTACAGATTGTTTTCTAGCAAAACAAGCTATTAATGCTTCATATAAAATACATACACACATAACTGGACTATATTTGGAGGCTCTGCTGGTGTGCTCAGCTTCTGCAGTTGCTCGGTTATGCCTTCCATTTAGAAAGACGGGCTAAGGCCTGCACGTGAGGAGCTGGTAGTGTGCTTTGCTAGCCATCTGTATGCTCGTGAGAGCCACTGGAGATCTCACCTAAACCCACTGCTTTCCAGTTCTGTGAAGCACCTGGAGTTTCAGTTGCCTCCCTTGATGTCATTCATTATACTAATGTCACACAAGCTTTCTGTTCTTTATTTAATTCAATTTGTATTTTTCTTATGCTGGACTTCCTGTGACCATATAAACCACTATTAATTTCCTACGTGCTCCTCTTCCTTCAAAGTTCCTTTTTCTTTTTTGGTTTGGAGTTTTAAGCCTCTGAAATAGAAGCTTTGCTTTGGTCTTTATATTGCTTTGACTCTTGGTATTGCCTTAACCTTTTAACTTTTGCTTTCAATTACTAATTAAGAGACTCTAGAATTTCTGATCTGCTTCTGTTCTGTATATTTCTTTTTTCATGCCTTTAATTGGATGATTTAAGCATCTGAGTTTTCTGAGTGTACCGTTCATACTGATGTGATCCTCCAATGCCTTTCTTCAAAAGCACTCTCTGGGAGCTCATGCCCTACTGGTGCTTGAAATCTGGAGAGAGTCATCTTTTTTCCAGTGGTTTTTACTGTGTCAACAGCCATAACATACTGTTGTATGCAAGTTCTGAAATATTTTACACTTTCTGTCATATGTTTCTTCTCACACAATCACCCCTCCAGTTCACACCTTCACCATCTCTCTCCTAGGCTACTACAACAGCCGTCTAACTTTAGGTCCCTCCCCATTCTCATACAGCCCCCACTCTGCTGCCAGGGCAATTTTTCTGAAATGTCGTTCTGACCATATCACCCCCTGATCAATGAGTTATAATGGCTCTCTATTACCTCCAAAGTAAAATACAAAGTCCTCTACTTATAATAGAGCTCTTCATAACTTCTATTTCTCGTCTCCATACTTATGCATTGGCTGTCTCCTACACATCTCTACCTTTTGGCTTTCCTACCTTCTTTCAAAACAGTCCAAATATCAACTTCTGCAGAAGACCTTTTCTCATCCCTCCAGCTGCTAACTTATTCCCCTCTCAGTTTACCTACCTACTCTAGAGATACCTTGTTTATACCAAGTGATTTACACATTGTTGCCCCTCTAGAACACAAGTTCCTTGAAGGCAAGAACTGTTTTTACCTTGTTTTGTCACTTAGAACAGTGCTTGGAACATAGTAAGAGTTTGTAGACTGACTACCAATAGGTTCCTTTTCTCTCTTTTACAATTTAAGTATAGTAGTTTTAAATGATAAAATATCATTATTTTAAAATATAAATTAAGGGAAGACATTGAATCTCAATTACATTTCTAGTTATTTACTGATGCTTCTGAAGGAACAAAAAACAAGCTCAATCATTAAACAAATACTTGTTTTAAATGTATAATTTAAGATAAAAATAAAATAGCTTCTATAAAAAAGAGTAAATGTCCAGGCACCTGCAAAAACAATTCCAACTCTTTTCCCTTTTGAAAGCAATAGTTAATGAGAATGATTTGTTTCTTCTTATGCCAGATTCCAGCTGCTTCACTATGTTTAAAACTGACTTCAAAGTTTAAACACTGTCCTATCCCAACAATAACCTCCCCCAGATGGAATTATATCAAGTACTATCCTCAATGTTCTGAATACCACACCTGCAGCCTTTTAATTCAACATTTTATATACTTACAAAAGGAAAATGATATATTTTTTTTCTCTTCCCCACTTTGTGTATTTTTGAAGCATGCAGTAAAGCACACAAAAGGAAGCTTACACCTGGGCTGTATTTACAGACTTTTCGACAGAAGAAAAAAAGCGCTGGCATTTGAATCTCTTATTATACGGATGATCAAGAGAAAACATCATAAAGGAAATGAAATTATCTGAAAAACCTAAGTTCAAGTAATCTTTTTAAGATATCTCTTACCTGCAAATAAAGAAGTAAGGTAACTATTAGGTTCAATATGTGTCCGATCCATGTCTCCTTGTGAATCTATTTAAAATAATAATGATTATGATCATAATGTATTTAGTTTAGACATATCATTAGATATAGAAATAAGCATAATTTATGTTGATTTTTTAAAATTCTCTGATAATTATGACTCTTTTAAATCAAGGTAAATAAACAACTACTATTGTAGATGCCTTAATTTTAAGTCAAATATCATAATGTTAATGATAAGCAACAGAGAACCATTTTGACTAATTTTTCTTCATGTATCAAAAAAAGAGACAAAAGGAAGCAAAAAGACCAAGACAGAAATTGCAATTTGCATTAAAAAACAGTACAGTTTAGGCAACAGTTTTCCCAAGATACCTTCCCTAAATGCAAAACAGTTTCATCCAAGAACCTAATAGTTAAAGAAGAGATACTGCTATGTCCTTCTCCCCGTGCCAGCGTAAAGTACATTTCCCAAGATAATTTACCTATAACCACATCAAAAAGAATTGTCAAGGACAACAGAAAAAAGCAAACAAAATTTAACTAATCTATGCCTGGAGAAGTACTATAGCATGGAGAACAGAGAGATGGTCTCAGAGCCAGCAAGACCCGGCTTCAAGTCCTGTCTTGGACACACAGTGACTGCAAAACTCTGAGCAAGTCACTTAACTTCTCAGTGGCTCTGGAAGAGGAAGGGGCTAATCTTCATTTAAAGAAGTTCTCCCTTGGGTGTTCCTTACATTGACGAAATTAAAGGTCTAGTGAAAAAAAATTCTAAATCCATATTTTATCAACTTTCACATTTATGTGAGGTAAACAGATTCAAAGTTCCCATCTTATGGACTCTGGAAGGGGTTAGGAATATAAAACAGAAAGTTTAAAGGCTCTCCAATCAGGAATATACTTCCAGCCTGCAATTCTATGCCCTATCTGTGCTGAATATATGATTATATCCTAAAACTCTAAAATACAAATAGAATATACATTCTTTGAGGACAGGGATTGTTTTTATTTTTATAGCTACAGGACCTAGTCCAATGGCATCATAGAAAAGCTAAACAATTTTTAAAAAAATAATCAGTAAATGTACGATGATATGGAAGCACATTTTATGATACTACATAAATTAAATTCAAGTATTTGTTAACTTCACAAATAAATCAAGTAGCAAATTTTAGGTAAAGATATCATGTTACTAAATTAATGTAATATTAATTACTATTACAATATTAATATAGCATTACCTGGCTTATAAAAGAGAGTAAGATGGTCTTATTATAAAGCAATTAAACTTTAGCAGTGCTCAATTATTAAATGTTACAAGAGGAAAAATTATGTTTAAAGTGAAAGTAGTATATTAAAGAAATTGTACAGATCTATGAAAAAAACTAATCTTTAAAAGTAAGGATGTTTTAAGCCTTAAAAAAAACTCTAAAGAAACCATAACTTCGCAGGAAACTGTATCTCCTTGCTACCTAAAGGTAAGAGACCATGAAAATGTAATACTGCATATAATGTCACACAGTTGATGCACTGGTTAGTGTTACTGAAGTGCTTACTTTCTTTTTTATTTTCTTGTTACTAAGAAAGGCTCACTGTGTAGGGGAAAGTCAAATATTCAGAACAATGTAAAAATAAAAAATACCAACACAAATAAGATTTTTTAAAAGAACGAGACAAAATCAAGCGTACCTTTAATATCTATAAAAATATAAGGATGGTGTATACAGTTCATGGATAATTTGCAAACAATAGATTAGAGTGAAACAAGCAAATCTGAAATGATTAGTGAAAACTTTATATAATTATGATTTTAATGGCATATTCAACACTACAAACTATTTCCAACACTCAAACATCAGATCTAGAGATAACACATATAGGAGAAAAACTACACCTTAAAGCCTCCCTCTTAATAATGGTATTCTTCTATCTTTCACCTCACGCATAATAAAAAGAAAAGAATGCAGGTATAAGCACTCCCAGCCTCCTTGATTCAATGGTGAGCTGTTTATTTGGCGATAAGCAAGAGAAACAAACAGTACAGTAATAACAGGTAAGTGCCTTGTGGTCAGGATCATACGGGTTCAAGGATAGGCTCTGATTCATATTGGCTGGGTAACTTAACTCTGTGAAAGTCATCTAACTTCTTGAGACATACCAGGCAACTGTCTAAGGCTATAACCTAGAGAACAGTTGTAGATCTGCATAGGTAGAGGGGAGCTCCCTAGAAAGATGAAATCACAGATCGAGTAAAAATTGTAATGTGTTGATCCTTTTGGAACTTTTCTTACTGTAAGACTAGAATTCAAAGAGACTTACATGAATCTGAGTAGGAAAAAGGCATATGAAACTAGGTGGGAAAAAAACGCAATGTGCTTATAGATTTGAAAGTGGCATAAATAATCAGCATTCATAGGGCATTGAACGTATATCAAGCACTTGCACTAGATGCTGTGGGGGATTACAAGACAAAGAAGAAAAATACATAGTTAACCATTCTTTAGATTGTTAGAATCTAGCAGTTATGGAGAGAAAACTGACAGCCAAAAGATCAACAGTGATTAGCAGATAAAAAGAAGTTTCAGTATTCTTAATCCTTGCTGTTGAATGGGGAAATAATTAAAAAAAAAAACTTCCTAGTTTAACAAACACTACTAAATATGAACATTTTTTACATAAAGAAAAAGGATTGCAATGAAATCTTGAATCTCAACTAGAGACAGCTTGGATTTTTATAGTACATATTAAATCTAATACAGTAGTTTCAACACTACCTTGTATCCCTTTCTGAACTTCTACTCTCCTTTGTATATTTTTTAAATACTTGAGTGATGCTCTGTTTTTGGGGGGTAATCTAATCATTTCATTAATAATGTCAGCATTTTAATAAAAGGCTGGTCATTTGGCCATCTCTATTAGACCAACGACCCCTCCTGGCAATGGATTCACAGTTTATATGCTCTTGGAAGTGCAGATATTCCTTAGCATGGTAATCAACTCTGATTGGTTAACAATTAATGAAAAAAAGAATATTATAATGAGAGGGTGGGCATATTATGATAAGAGTCTGAGAGTACATGACTTGGATCATTCAAATCTTAGTCAAAGTGACATCAATTTCCATATCATCTATCTGACAAAAGGGAGGATACACATTTTCCCAGACCTGTCTGAGTAAACAACACAATGAGCAGAGATGCACTCAATGGACTAAACTTAGAATTTCTTTTACTGTCTGATTAGATCTTGGCTTGGGTAAATTTCTGCCTAAGATTTCCCAGATGCTCTCTTTTTGGTATCACTTTTACTCCTCATCATAAAACTTTTGTTTACCACTCCCTCCAAAAAAAGTTCTCCCTTGTAACAAATAAGTATTTTAAGCAAAACAGACTATTACATTGGCTGTATCTGAAAAGGAATTTCTCATTCTGAACTGCTAACATTTCACCTTTCTGCAAGTGAGTGGGAAGCTCAATTCAGCTTTAGTCTTCTGGCATCACGATTGGTCATTTTAATAATCAAAGTTTTTAAGTCTTTGACCAGTGCTTTTCGTTTTGTTTTTCACAATGTTGTAGTCACTGCAGAAGTTGTCCTAGCTCTGCTCATTCCACTCTGCAACAGTTCATACAAGTCCTCCCAGGTTTCTCTGAGTCTATTACCTTTTGTCATTTCTTATAGGACAATAATGTTACTATATATACACCATAATTTGCTCAGCAAACCCATCTGGTTCTTTTCCTTCTTTCTTTGATCTCTGTGAAGTATATGTTAGCAGTGGTGTCTCTGACTCAAAGAGAATACGTATTTTAGTGACTTTGGAAGTAATAACTCCGAATTGTTTTCTTGAATAGTTAGACCACTTCATAGCACATTAATGTCCCCATAATACCTCAAACAAATGTCATTTTCATTTGTCATCTTTGCCGATCTGACACACATAAAGTAGAACCACAGAGTTGTTTTAATTTGCATTTCTCTTATTATTTGTGATTTGGAGTATTTTTTTTTTCATATAGCTGTTGATAACTTCTATTTCTTCTTTTGAAAACTGCCTGTTTAACCATTTACTTTTGGGAACTAGCTCTTGCTCATGTATTTGAATCAATTCCCTATGTATCTTGATTATCAGGCCTTTTTCAGAGAAGTTTGCTGCAAATATTTTGTTCCAGTTAATTACTTCCCTTCAAATTCTAACTGCAATGATTTAGGGGGAGGAAGGAATCTTCCAATTTTTTGCAATGTCTATTTTATCTCTCGTAATCCTTTCTATCCCTTATTTGATCATGAACTCTTCCCCGTTCAGAGCTGTGAAAGGTATCTCCTTCCCTTCTCTAAACTGCTTATAACATGGCCTATTTTTATATCAAACTCATGTATCCATTTGAAATTTATCACATTAAATGTGAAACAGTAGTTTAAACCTAATTTCCACAAGAATGCTTTCCAATTTTCCCCATCAATTTTTACAGAATAGTGAGTCTTTACTCCAGTAGCTAGGGTCCGTAGGTTTTTTGAATAAATACTACTATCAGTCATCAATCAATAAACATTTATTAAGCACCTACTATCTGCCTGGCACTTGAAATACAAATATGAGAGATGGACTAATCTCTATTTGCAAGGACCTTACATTCTAAAGAGAGAGACAAGGATATAGGTAAGCATATACAAGATAAACATATAGAGAATAAAAACAAAATAACTGAAATACAAAACAGTTTGAGAGGAAGGGCCCTAGTAGTTGAGGGAATCATGAAACGCCTCACATTTAAGGTGGTAGTTGATTCCAGCCAAGGGGATAGTTAGAGCTAAAGCATAAGACTGGAGATAAGAAGGGGCAGGTAGGTGGTGCAGTGGATAGAGCACGGGCCCTGGAGTCAGGAGGACCTGAGTTCAAATCGGGTCTCAGACACATAATACTTCCTAGCTGTGTGACTCTGGGCAAGTCACTTAACCCCAAACACCTCACAAAAAAAAATAAATAAATAAAAAGATTGGAGATAAGAGTGTCATGTGTAAGGAACAGAGAGAAAACCAGTTTGGCT